AGGAATGCCCTTCCTCATCTCCTTCTGCCTATTTCAGTGCTTCGGTCCCTTCTTTGTGCAGCCTTCTCTTCTCCAGCTCACACTTCTCTTTCTCTTTAGAATGTTTACATACCAGTGGTCTGCAGCTTTCATTCTGGTATAAACAATAGCCTACTCCATTTCGTTAATCATATACCGACATATTACAGTAAGGCCTGATAGAACAGCCTGCAGTAAATGCAAATTAGGATCTACCATGATTGGCTCTGGTCCTTCTGCCAGTTTTCAGTGGCTAAAGTTCTTTTCTTCTGCAGGAATAGGGAGAGGGCTTGAGGAAGTGGCAGTGTCATGATAATTTGGGACCGACTCAATTCAGTGTGTTCCAGTTGTGTACAATATTAGTTCAACTATATTTACTTTTATGCTTTCTGTAGCAACAGAGACCCAAGGAGAAGTAAATCCCTCCCACATTTCACTTGACTAGACTGAATTTTTTGGGCCCCACTAATCACAGTATGGTAGACTTTACCGTATTGCCTGTTTCACGAGAGTGGCTGCTGTCCCAACTAGTCTGTAAATTCGAATTCAAAGTAAATCTCGAACCTGACCTCTTCTCACCATCTCCATCACTACTACCCTGATCCCAGCCACTATCATCTCTCACCTGGATTGTTGCAAGAGCTGCCTAACTGGCTTCCCCAATTGCACTCCTTTCCTGTACAGGCTATTCTCAACACGGCAAACTCCTTTCCTGTTAAATCTGAGCTGAAAATGCTCTACATGATCTGTGCCTCTGCCTTCATCTCTCGCTTTCCTCCCAGCTTGCTCCACTCCCAGCTTCCTCAGGGCCTTTGCACTGGCGGCTCTGTGCCCTGGAAAGCTCCTCCCCCCGGTGTCCCATGCTCACTGCCTCAACGCCTTCGGGGCTTGGCTCCGACTTCTCACGGAGGTCACCTTCTCGCCAAGGCCTCCCCTGACTACCTTATAGAAAATCACAGCTCACGAACTCCCACCCCCAGCACTGTGAACCCCTCACCCTGCTTTTCTTTTTTCCTTATCACCTTCAAAATGACCACATAATTTTTCAAAAGTATTTTATCTGTTATTTGTTGTCTGTCCTCCTGTGCTAAAGCGTAAGCTCCACGGGGACAGGGACTTTGGCTCATTGATGTACCCCCGGCCACCTAGACGGCCTGGCACGTGGCCGGAGTTCAAGAACATTTGGTGAATGAATTCTACAAAGGCAAGGCCACGTCTCAGAGGTGAGCCTCTGGGTCTCTTTCCTCTCTAGGGCTTTCTGTTTACCTTTTCCCCCCCTGAGTCCTAAGTATGTTTACTCTTCCCTGGAGATTTTTGGGACCAAAGGGAACCCTGGTTATTTTGCCTACTTTAGGGCCAGCCTGCCTAGAGGCAGAAGACCGGTTAAGATGACCTTCCAGCAACGCAGACTTGTGTGGAGATGCCAAGTGAGGGTGCAGAAGGAGTGCACGTGGGGACCTAACTCATTTGTAAGCAGAGGTGGCTGTCTGGTGTGGAACGGAGCGCCCTCCCCTTCCACCCCTCCAGCTGTCACATTCAGCCAGTAGCTCCCGTCTTTGTGCCAGTAGCAGAGCCTCAAAGGCCGCAGCTGGTGGGAGAGAAGAGCTGGGCCGTGGGGTCATCTGCGCTTCCTGGTGGGGAACCAGCCGGCTCCCCTCACTTCCTCTTACGAAGGGGGCAGCCCAGCCCCATTGCTGAAGGCTTGCAGCCTCCCCTCGGGGATGGCAGCCTGGCTGGGACCCTGGGGCAGTGGAGGCTCCGCATTCCTTTGGGGCCGGGGGTCTCCTGACTGAGGTGGGTGGGCTAGTACGGGGGCTTTGGATGGATCGGAGGTGGAGCGAGGGTTAGGGTTTAGTCTGGTTCTAGGATCCAGAGGAGGTTTGGGGTCAAAGAGGATGTTCGGGCTTCTCAAACCAACGCCTGCTGCTTCCACAGGCAGGCAGGCAGTGCTCTGGCACCAGAAGCCTAGGTCGGGAAGCCGTGAGAACTACACCTCCCAGTGTGCAGTGCTGCGGGCCCAGGGAGCGGGGAAGGCCTGAGGTCAAGCTCTGGGAAGCCCTTCTCCTGCTCCTGCAGCTGCAGCAGCGGTGCACTGCGCAGAACAGTGGGCAGGGCCTCAACGCGGTGGAGGGGAACTGAATCCTCCCAGGGGTGTGGACGCAGCTGCCTCCCCACAGGCTCCTCAGTGCTGCCACGGGCGGCCTGGAGGCGGCCACCTTTGCCCACAGCACAGCTGCAGGCCCCTTCTGCACACTCAGCACGCAGACATCGCTCGCCTGCTTGCCTGTGCACGTTGACACGCTCAGAGGCACACGCCCACACTCATACGCCCAGGCACGCACGCTCGCAGGCTCACACAGCCCTCCTTTCTAGATGGACCTCCAAGCCCCACTAACCCTTGGTCTGAAGGACTCCTGGCCTCAAGCACATACCCTGTTGCTTTCACCCCCGATGGCTGAGCCGGCTCAGCGCTGGAAATGAAAACTGGGGACACCCTGCACCCCGGCGGCCTTCCTGCCTGGCTCCTGGGAGTGCCCTGGACACTCTTCTTCAGACAAACCCAGTCCCAGGGGCAGATGCTGCCTTCTTTGGCCTCTTTAGTCTGGTCAAGGCCACACCCTTGCAGCCCTCCCTGCCCTCAGCGTTGCCCCCAGAGGGAGGACGGAGGGGAGCTCACAGGTTTGTTTTGTGACTAGGGGCCAACCCCATGAAACCGCCCCTGGGAAATGGGCTTCTCTGCGGGCCCGGGCCCCGTGAAGTGTATCCGCAAAGTCCGGTGGGTTTGTCTCTTCTGCTGTCAGTCGCACGGCCACAGCCTGGACCTGTCGTTTCCCTCTAGAAAAACACTCATTGTACATACAGCCCCTTTCTGGTCCCCCCAGGTGCCATCCACACAGCCTCCCAGGCGCTCAGTCTCGACCACCCTCCTTGCCACGCTGCTGCTTTCGGAGGCCGCCCGTGGCCAAGAGAGAGGAAAGCTCTGCTCCCTCTGTTCCCGCCCCCTCGGCCCCAGCCATTCTCCCACACACTTCCCCCATCGCCGCCGCTAGCCCACCACTCATCCTTGGAGGAACAACTCAAAGGCCACCTCCTCTGGGATCTGCGATCCCAAGAAGCCTGTGCCGAAGTGTGTCTGTGCAGGTGGTGCAGCGGCCCTGTGCACGCGTGCCCTGCACACACGTGTGTCTCCGGCACGCACCCTGCTGCGCACTTTCCTCCGCTCTGCTCTTCATTTCCCTCGCCAGATGCGCCCAGGGCAAAGCTATTAACTGTACGACGGCCAGAATGAAAAATTAAATTTCCACTTATCCCTCTCGTTCATGCATTCCCTCCAGACCAGCGGGGCTTGGAGCACAGGGCATGGCTGTGCCCCGCGGAGACCAGCCGATGCGGGAGGAAGGCTGGTGGGGTCGGCGGCTGCGTGGAAGTTGCCCGTGAGTACGAGAGCGAACAGAACGAACAGCTCTGAAGAGGCTCAGGCCGCCTGGCTGCGTCTTCCTGAGGGGGCTGAGAGACCTTCCCTCGGGACGGCCAGTGAAACAGCGCCTGGGCCCATCGATGATTCAGGGAGCATCACACTTCCCTGGCTCCTGCCTAACTGGGCTGTCAAGGGCAGAGTCCCCTTACGCAAGGCCCTTCTCACCACCCATGTGTGTGGCTTTGGTGACCACCCCCGTCCCGCTGTGTATTGGGGGAGCACGTGAGGACACGCTGCATGCCTCTTCCAGCTGGAGCCCTGGGCGGTCCCGGCGCACCTTCCCCGCAAGGCCACCTAGGCCTGACCGCACAGATCCCACTGAGGGCACCACTGGAGCAAACACGCCCAAGGAGATGGCTCACCTCCGCGCTGGTTTCCCTTCCTTCCTTTCCTCTCTTTTCCCAGCCTGGGCCTGGGAAGTTGCTCCCTTTCCTTCCTGCCTGCTCCTGGACCTGCTGTGTCTGCCTGCTGAGCTGTCCTGCACTCACGGTGGTCCTGCATTCTCCTGGGCTTTGGCAGAAGGGAGGCCCTGACTTTCCTGTCCCGGCCCTGCCTCTGGGGTAGGGCAGCACCACTTAGCCCCGTAAGCTTAGTGGGCCTCTGGCCGGTCCGCTCATGCTGGGCAGTAGGATCAATGGGAGGTCATTGCTCCAGGGTTTCTTGGCCTCCGCCCCTGATTTCCCAATCAGCAGTTTCCCCAGAGAGCCTGAGTGGTGGAGGGGGATGCAGTGGTGGCGTTGGTGCTCCACTGCTGGGTGAAGGTATTCCCATGCAGGAAGTCCATGCCGTGTGCTAGGCCGTGGTATACGGATTTGGCGTGATCAAAAGAAGCCTGAGATAAGTATGATGATCTCTGTATTACAGACAAGGAAGCTGAGGCTCAGAGGGGTGAAGGCCACACAGCCAGGAAGAGCCAGTATGTGAACACATTCAGGCCAAGTCTGTGCTGTCCCTCACGTGACCCGCATCCCCCCAGGTGATCACGCTCCCTTGTGACATTGTTCACCCTCATGTGCCACATGGCCAGAGCTCAGGCGCCTAGGAGGCTCTTATGGAGCTTTGCTCAGACTTTCTCCAGGGGGTGAGAAGTGTGTGACACTGGCCTTACCATCCTTGCCAACTTATGGGAACCCCCAGACCCTAGAGTGGAGGAGGGGCTGTCTCAGCTTTCCCCAGGCTCCACCTCTGACACTTCTTTTTTTTTGCAGGTGGGGTTAAGTAGAAAAGAATAGCTCTATCGCTTTGCCAGGCAAAGGGGGACACAGGGCGCTCATGCCTTGAAAACTGTGTGTTCCCTCTGACATTTCTACCACCTTAACCAGTCCGAGAGCCAAGAGCAGGGAGTTGAAGAAAAGAGCAAGTGACAAGTGACTCCATCTCCGTCCAACCCTGGTGACAGAGGTGCCAGAACGGCCCCGAGGACAGGTAGGTGCAGCCCTTGGACAGCTTTGGGCTGTTTTATCAGCAGCTGTGCCTTGAATGTACCCACAGGTGAGGTCTCCCACTTCTGAGAAACAGGCTCAGAGCTAACGAATCCTCAGGACTCGCCCAAGCTCTGTGCCTGGAGCCAGGAACCACCGCCCAACTTCCAGTATCCCTGAACCTAGCTCAACATCTCCCTGAGGTCACTTCCTGTCCAGCTCAGTAGCAGCATGATGTCGTTTCCTGTCCTAGGAGGGTCTTTCTGTCACTTTCTCACCCTGGAACTAGCTCAGATACAGGGTTAAAGACACCCTGGTTGCGAAGTTGTGATGGTAGTTTACCCCTCTATTGGCTTGTTTTGATCTTTCCATCAATAATGATAATGACAGAGACAAGATAATAACCATAGAACACGAGCCATTTATTGACACACTGGTCTGTGCTAGGTACTTGGCCTACGTTATATAAATCCTGACAACAAGCCTTCAAGGCATGTCATATTGTGCCTGTTTTACAGATGAGGGCTTGTCCAGCTGTCTGACACGGAAGCCCATGCTCCTTTCACGTTCCATGTGATGTCTCCCCCAGAACATCCCAGCCCCTGTGTTCCCTTTGCTCTAAGAGGTCAGGAGGCTGAGTCTCCCTCCCATCTGCCCTGAGAGAGAAGAATGCAGGGAAAATAGAATTCAGTTGCAGGGCACACAAACCACCGTGGCTTTGGGCTCTATCCTGGCTTTCCCTCTGTACCTTTGCTTGAGGTAAGCCTCGCCCTCCAGCCCACGCAGGTTTCCTGAACTGCAGGAGCAAAGCTCGGAGGAGATGAGCTCCTCCCACAAGCCCACCCCACCAAGGCAGCATCACAGGTGTGCAGACCCATGGGCAGGCTCTAACCACGCCCACCCCCAAAACAGCATTGCTGTAAACAGCACTTCCTTCCTCCCTCCTGGAGCCTCCCTCCTGCCCCTCTCTGACTGGCAGGGGCGGGGGGGGGGGGG